AGAATACAGTGAGCACAAAAAGAAACAGTTTGTCTCCCCCACCCACACCGAAACAAAGAGATGCCCAAATTTCTTACATAATTGGGAAAGATAACCATGTCCACATTCCCAGGCACGTCAATTAGCAACTGCCTCAAAGAATACTCCCGAGAACCAGCTGGATGTAACAATTCATCAGTGTCTAGATGAATTATCCATTCAGCGCCAGCATCCTAGAATTATAATACACAAAATATTTGATTAGCTTTACAAGAAAAAATGGTACATTTCTGCTACACTTGTAATAATCCATACCCTTGCCATGACAATTGCCATCTCCATGTTGAGGGATTGCTTCACAAAAAGCTCATAATTGCAAGGCTTGTAAAAGAAACTTGACAGCCATGTTTCATTCCAGATCCGACTGAAGCATCAGGGACAAAAAGGTGTAAGAGAATGATAACCACTGCTAATATATCATATGAAAATTTCTGTAACTTAAGAGACCAATGTATTATATCCAGAAAGCTTATGGTAAGACACAGGAAGAAAGATAGTTGTTGGTTTACGATTTTAAAAAATGTTAAAAATGTATCCATTGAAAAATTAGTTGGCTTTGTCTATTTCATATAATTTATCTATGCTGTCAGCAAGCTCCAACACATATCAGAAGTGACCGACCTCTTAGCTTGTTGCTCTTCCAGCTCTGTGGTTCTGTATATTACTTTCACTCCCTGCAAAGGATAACCAAATTACGCACCCATTGATTCTGAATGAAAACATTATACCGTTAAACACAGAATATCATAATCATCAGATTGAAGTGACAGCCACCATGAATCCAGAAAAGATATCGCAAGATAAGTTATCACATAATCAGGTCCCTGCCCGACATGAACTTGGAGAAAAATAGATGGGGTGAGTTTGGGCAGGAGACAAGACTAGTAATTGGCAATTGATATAAATTGGTCATAATTTGTAGATGAGTTCTAGTTCATCACTGATGTTCATAAAGACAAAATACTGGCTACTACTGCCCCACTTCTCTCAGAGACCAAACACCAAACCGAAAGCCACCTAAGACTCTTAAGACTTGACAGAAGAAGCTCCATTCAACTTCAAATCACATGGTAATGTGTAAAGAGTCAACTAATGTTGGGTAGGTTGAATCTTAAGCTCCTAAAGGATTAGCAGAATAATATAACACTATGAATTTCGGAATTAGCACTGGGCTCCTAAATTAAAAATAAATAAAAATCAGGCAACCGTCCAATAAATTGCATTTTGAAGATACAGCTTCAACCGAAGACCAGATAGTTTTCAAGTCAAAATAATCCCACAATGATGGCTTATTCAGCATTTCATAGAGGTCAAAGTTATCAAAGTCATCCTACAATAACGGCTTATCCAGCATTCTATTTGAGGTCAAACTTATCCATTTTATATTATACATTACCAGACTATCAGTAATTCTTCAGGAATATAATCGCCCGTTGTCAGCTTATGTCAACTAATTGGAAAGTTTCTCAATAAGAATACTACAGCCTATTTAACTTATGTGACCATAACCTATTGATACAGCTTAAATCAAGTTACACTGAGGGATCAGGTTACAAGAAGTTACAAAAAAGTCACGACAAGCCCCCGTTTTATTCCCATTTTCTAAGAATGAGAATAAAAAATATAGCCGTTATGGAACCACACAAGAAATAGGAAGTCAAATATGACAGCTTGATGTAATGGACAACGGACATATTTTTCATTTTGTGGCCAAAGAATGGGAATCAAACGGGGGCTATATTTAACTTCTTGTGTACATTTTTATAATGTGAAACAATTGGTCTCTTATATGTTCTTTACTCATTAAGAAGCAACTCGTAACTGTTTGGTTTTTTTTTTTTTTTAGTCACAGCTAGTGACCTTTTCAACTGACCAAAGCCTAAATATCAATACTGTCCTCTGATCACGTTTCTTTGTAGAGCCATCTCTTCACTGTGTTTAAAGACAGGTAACCAGTTTTTCTTTATTTCTTTAGTTATAAGTAAGAAAATACAAGAGTATTTTACAATACAGTGTTTATGCAGATTAGATTTTGACCCAAAAGAAAATGGCTAGCAGGATACAAACTCACAGGAATGGATTCAAGGACTTTGGACACAGCAGGAGATGCAGCCTTCCCTTCAACAAAGAGAAAAAAGGTTGACACCCCAATAACTTTATGATAGAACATCCATGGCAAAATCTGCTCTAAGCCAGCAGACGTACTCGTTGTAATGCATATCTGCACATAATAGAGGAAGATAGTAAGGTCATCAGTCATCACCAATCGTTTATGCTGACGCATTATTTATTAGGAAACGAATTTATAATGAAATCAATTATGGAATGTGAAGAACTAGGGTGAATAACAAGTGCAGTTGGGTTTCGGTGGGCAAATCAGCATGAGAAAAGCACATCTATCATGTATCATATGGTTGGATGTAGCTGTTAAGTCGTATAATCTTATACTGGAGATAAGTATGTCCTGCCAACATTTCAATTCAATAATCAATGTGAATCAAAATCTAAGCCAATTTTCT